TACTCTTCAAATTCTTGTAACCCCCATTTTAAAAGTGTGGCTGTGACAATCATAAATCCTTCAGACTTTTAAAAAATTTTCTTTCTAAAATGAACAACTGGAGTCTTTCATTTGGGTATTAGCAATATTTACAGCATGAACCTGTGCCAGATTTAAATCTGTGCTTCAAGCAAGAAAGACCCCCCAGCAGTGCCTGGCAGGCAGGAATTTCCTCTGAGATCAGGAGATTTTGGATGGGGCCATGCAGCCCCAGTTACTCCTTTTGGAAATCACCAGCCTTGGAGCTGGGCTGGAAAAGGCAAAACATCACTCACCCTGCATGGCTTGCCAAGAAAACCAGAAATCTTCTTCCCTGAGTGATGCCAGGCAGGAATTACAGCCTCCCTTTGGAAATTGCACTCCCTCTAAAGGTGACCAAGTCCCCAGTGGCACTGACAGATCCTTCAGGCATCGGCCAAATTTAATTCCTGCAACAGCAAGGATTTGCTGCCTTGGGAAATGTGGGAAATAGAATTGTAACATCTGTATTGTCTCACCCTTCACATGAGCCTGAAAATGGAATAAAAGTTTTTAAAATGCCTCTCAGCTGCCCGTCTCTGGGTCAGAAAAAACCTTAATCCAACAGGGAAACTGGAGTTTTGTGAGGGAGCTCTCCAAGCAGGGAGCTCAGCCAGCTGCAGCCCTCCCATCCCCACTGCTCCTGCACTCCCCAATAAACACCCAGGTGAGCACCAGGAGCAGGTCATGGAGCTGTTGTAAACTGGTGAGGAAGGGGGCAACAGGATAAAGTGGGAAGGCAGAAAAATGCCTTTCCCAAGAGCATCCCCTGTGCTGTGCCAGCAAATGCTGCTCCAGAGGTGAAACACAGAGCGAGGAGCTGTGCAAAGGGCAAGGCAGGGCTGGCAGCACACTCACAGGCTGATCCTGTGACTGCAGAGATCTCCATAAGCTGGCCAGGAACAATCAGAGATCTCCATAAGCTGGCCAGGAACAATCAGAGATCTCCATAAACTGGCCAGGGATAATCAGAGATCTCCATGAGCTGGCCAGGGACAATCAGAGATCTCCATGAGCTGGCCAGGGATAATCAGAGATCTCCATAAACTGGCCAGGAACAATCAGAGATTTCCATAAACTGGCCAGGGATAATCAGAGATCTCCATAAACTGGCCAGGAATAATCAGAGATCTCCATAAGCTGGCCAGGAACAAACAGATCTCCATAAGCTGGCCAGGAACAATCAGAGATCTCCATAAGCTGGCCAGGAACAATCAGAGATCTCCATAAGCTGGCCAGGGATAATCAGAGATCTCCATAAGCTGGCCAGGGATAATCAGAGATCTCCATAAGCTGGCCAGGAACAATCAGAGATCTCCATAAGCTGGCCAGGAACAATCAGAGATCTCCATAAGCTGGCCAGGAACAATCAGAGATCTCCATAAGCTGGCCAGGAACAATCAGAGATCTCCATAAGCTGGCCAGGAACAATCAGAGATCTCCATAAGCTGGCCAGGAACAATCAGAGATCTCCATAAACTGGCCAGGAACAATCAGAGATCTCCATAAGCTGGCCAGGGATAATCAGAGATCTCCATAAACTGGCCAGGAACAATCAGAGATCTCCATAAGCTGGCCAGGGACAATCAGAGATCTCCATAAGCTGGCCAGGGACAATCAGAGATCTCCATAAGCTGGCCAGGGACAATCAGAGATCTCCATAAGCTGGCCAGGGACAATCAGCCAACTGTGCAGGATCAGCTGCCCAAAACCCCCAGTTTTACAGAGCTTTTATCAATGGAGGGGAGGTGCAGCTGGCAAGGGGAAAGCTGACCCCCAAACACTCAGTATTTGGTTTCAGGTAAGTTACTGGAGAGCAGCACTGGGAGAAGGGATGTGTTTGCAGCACCACACCCCCCTGGTTTCTCCATCAAGAGCAGGAAATGCTCCACACAACCTGGAGCACACTGTGCAAGCAGAGCCCAGCTCTCCTCAGGTGTACTTTGGAGGAGAAATGTCCTCACAGCACAGGAGCTGTAAAAGCCACAGGCCCATGGCAGGTGGTGCATCAGAGAGGGCTGTCAGGCTGTGATCTATCTCAGGCTCAGCAATTCTCCAGGCACAAAATCTGACATTTAATTAAGGCCAGCACCTTTCTCATTCAAGCACCTCCCAGTGTTAATAAGGAGCCCAAATGCCACCAGTGACAATGATGTGGCACTGGGTACCCACAAACATTTCCTGTGAGATTGGGACTGTTTGGGTCAGAACTTGGCTCCTCACAGCTCCTCAGAGATTGTTGATGAGGGGATCACAGGGACAAGATCAGGTTTTATGGTTTGTAAAGGCTTTTACACAGCCCTGCTCGACACTGAGACCTTTTGTGGCCCTGTCCCAAATGTCAGCTCAGTGACACAGGACACAAGTGTGAAAAATGTGGATTTTTTGATTGGCTTTTTGCAAATATTAAAATGAATGTTATATGTGTTATGTTAGAAAGTTATGCTCTATTAATTTTCTTAAGTAGTGTGTTAAATATAGTTTTAGGTTATAACAAAATATTAAAATAGAAACTATGCTATGTAAGATTTTTTTAAAAGAAAGGACTCACAGTGAGACAGCAGCCACAGGACACCTGAATCTCTCAGAGAAAGAGAATTTATTGCTCCCTTATCAGAAGAAATGAACTTCTCCCTGCCTTGCTCAACCCTGAAGACACTGTCAGGATTCAGAGGAAGAAGCTGACACTGCCCAGCCAGAATCCTGTGTTTGAATGGAATTTATGCATCATGGATGAGGTGTATGAATATGCAACAGGCTGTTGTTTTTAAGGGTTAATCCTTTGTTAACGTGAGTCCTTTTTCTGGGCTCGTGCTGCCCAGAAAGAGGTACCCAGACTGTCCCTAACTCTTTGTTTCTGTTGTCTCATATTGTCCTAATCCCAATTGTCCAATTTTTATTACTCTAATTATATTACTATTTTATAACCATTTTATTACTATTAAACTTTAGAAATTTAAAAACAAGAGATTGGGGTTTTTCACATGTAAGGACCCAGAGCTGGGTGTCCCAAACCTGTGTCTGCTCCCACAGCCCCAGGGCCATGAGCACAGCCCCAGCCCCTGCAGCTGAAGTTGTGCTTTCAGGAGTGCTCAGTGTGCCTGGCCATTGCTGTGAGGAGAGAACACTCACAGGAACACACAGGATCTACTGAAATCCCTTTGGACACCCATCCTTGCATTGCATCTCACCTCCTGCCTGAGGAAACATCCAGAAAATCCTCCCAAGGTGATGATCCACCAGCCAGTCTGCTTGACTGACTGATGTGGAATTTGAAAACCCAGAAGTCCCAGGTTTCCTTTTGGGGGCATTTCCCTCTAAGAAAGGGAAAGGAAAACAAACCAAACTAAACCTACCACCTGTGCTTTCCCACCTTGCTCATTTGGGAAACAAACTGCTCACCCAGGATCAGAGCTTTCTCCTGCATCTCTTCTTTGGGTAAGACCTGACACAATGGATCCACAGCCTTTGGACTGATCCCAGCACATGGAATAGGAAAGTTTAAGACCAAACCCTCTTAAAGAGCTGCCTGACATTTTCTTGGAGGCAGCAGCATGATCTCAAACTTGATTAACTGAGTAGCAGGCAGCTAATTAGTCACCTAATGAGTCATCCTGCCAGCTCTACCTGTGAAAGTTCAAGAGGCAGAGCAGAAGTCCCACAGAGACATGCAGGAAACTAATACACACTATTTTTAATGTCACCACATTAAACACAACCCAAACACAGAACTGGCTACTAGAAGAGAGAGAAAACAGAAGGAAATAGGATGGGACAGTTTGCAGGATAAATTTGCCACAATACCTGTAGCAGCACAAACAGTAATAAGAAAGTACCACTAGATCTGAGAAAAACAAGCTTTAAAAATTCAGAACGAGTACTGTTATTGCATCACTGCAGAAACCCAGGTTTATCCATGGCCCTAAGTAAACAAATACATCCTTGCTCTACCTGCCAGCAGGGATAGGAAAACAGGAGTAAATCTTGTAAAATTCCTTATCCAATCTGTTAAATTTGGGGAAGAAGGTATGGAGGAGGATGTGAGTGCACAGCTCTGGGGCACCTCAGGGATTGGTGCTTCAGAGCACCTGTGAGAGCAAGAGGCAAACATGGAAAATTTGGGATTAGTCATGTCACACACCACCTACTTAACAGCCAAAAAGCACAGATAAGAAATAACCAGGCCCATCTGCAGAGAGATAGAAATGTATGAAAACACCTGGGAAAAGGAGCAGAGCTTCTGGGTGCTACAGTAACACAAACAGCCAGGGAAAGCCATGAAAAAAACCCCACTTTGTCCTTCACAGAGCTGAATAGCAAAGCAGATATTCACAGGCTGCAGCAATCGCCCTCCAAAGCAGCAAATCAGCCTCCACTTAGAATGTCATTGTTTTGAAATGCAGAAATCACCACTCACGTTTTGCTCACACCCAAACAGAACTTCCACCAGCAGAGGAAGAGCAGCTTGTTCCAGCCCAGGTTAACCCAAACCCACAGGGCCATCCCAGCCCTTGCTCCTGTTTGTAAATAATTGGGCACAAAGCTTTTGAGTGGTTTCAGGGGTAGTGGGGGCCTGTGCTCAAATGCAAAAGGGGTCACCCCCCCAATTTTCTCAATGCAAAACATCAGATTTTAGGGAAGAAGTTGGGAAACAGAGCAAGGACAGAAAGAGCAGCTTGTTCCAGCCCACATCAACCCAAACCCACAGGGCCATCCCACCCCTTGCTGTCTGTAAATAATTGGGCACAAAGCTTTTGAGTGGTTTCAGGGTAGTCAAGGCCAAATTGTTCGATTGCAAAAGGGGTCACCCCAATCTTCCCTTTGGAAAACACCAGATTTTAGGGAGGACCTCGGGAAACAGAGCAGGAAAGGGACAGCAGGGACATGACAAACCAGGACGTGGGATGTAGGATGACACGGAGGTGTGCACGTTCCCCTCTTACCTGCTTCCATGAGCTGGCACTGCTGCCCAAAAACTTGGGAGAAGGTGACAGGCCCTGCAGCAGGGCTGGAGGAGGCCGGGGGGGAGTCCATGGCTTCCCTGCAGAGCTGAGTGTTGGTCATGGGGCAGAGCCCGGAGCTCCCAGCCCTGCTGTCCCCCACGGATCCTCGGGGCAGGAGGAGACACCCAGGGAGGAACGGCGCGGCCCCTTTCAAGGGAGAGGATCAGCACACGTTTTCAGCTGAGCGCCAGCAGTATTTTCATGGAGAAATCCAAAGCTCCGTGCCTCTCCCCGGAGGCTCTGGCGCGTCCTGGGCAGGTCTGGCGGCTTCAGGCAAGAATTAGCGCCGGGCACTGAGGATCGGCACCTTCTGGGGTATCTACCATGGTCACAGCAAAGTCCTGAGGCTCTTCCTTCTCCTGAATATCCAAGCCCAGCCCTACCTTGTCCGTGAGCTCGGACACATCTCCGGAGCCCGGGAATTCTCCTGAGGGGTTGCGGAGCCTCCGTCCTTCCAGCCCGTCCGCTGTGAGGGCACCGGGGATGCCGGAGCACCGGGGATCCTCCTCCGCAGGCCTCGGAGCCCCAGCTGCCCCTCAGGAGCCCGGGCTGCCCCTCAGGAAGCCGAGCTGCCCTTCAGGAGCTCCAGCTGCCCCTCAGGAAGCCGAGCTGCCCCTCAGGAGCTCCAGCTGCCCCTCAGGAGCTCCAGCTGCCCCTCAGGAAGCCGAGCTGCCCCTCAGGAAGCCGAGCTGCCCCTCAGGAAGCCGAGCTGCCCCTCAGGAGCCCGGGAATTCTCCCGTGGGATTGCGGAGCCTCCGTCCTTCCAGCCTGTCCGCTGTGAGGGCACCGGGGATGCCAGAGCACCGGGAATCCTCCTCCGCAGGGCTCGGAGCCCCAGCTGCCCCTCAGGAGCCCCAGCTGCCCCTCAGGAGCTCAGGGCAGGTTTTCAGGGGAGGATTCCAGCGGAGGCAGCCGCGGGCGGCACCGGCCGGGCCGGGCCGGGCTCGGGGGCTCTCGGCATCACCCCCGCCGCTCGTCCCTTCCCTCCAGCCCGCTCCCCCCTTCCCCCAGCCTCACCGGCGAGGGGGAGGAGACTGGAGCCACGTTAAATAACATCCTGTGCCCTGCTGCAGTGCCCGCCCGGCCCTCCTCCCTCTGCCCGCATGCAGCGGCTGCTCCCGGAGCGCTCTGAAGGCGGTGGGAACTCCGGCAGGGAACGACGAGCTGGCTGCCTTAACCCCTTCCCCTGGCTGCCTTAACCCCTTCCCGCCTACCTTAACCCCCTCTCAGCTGCCTTAACCCCTTCCCGCCTACCTTAACCCCCTCCTGCCCGGTTTAACCCCCTCCTGGCCGCGGGATGCTCCAGGGACAGGGGAGAGCACCGGCTGCCAAACCTGCCCGCGGTGCCCATCCCGCAAGGATGCCTGGCTGGAATTCCTTCAGTGTAAGCACCAGGCAGGGCTGTTTCCAGGGAAAAGGGGCCAAGAGTTAACTCCCAGCAAAGTCTGACAGCGCTGATTCATCTCTCTTTGAAAAGCTCCCCCTGCCAATGCAAAGGATGCTGGCTCCGGGAGCGCTGCGTGAATCTGTGGTCCGTGAGTCAGCGGAGCTTTTTTTGGGGAAGTCTGCTGGGAAGAAAGGTTCCCGCGTGGTTAGGAAAACACACGGTGAGCCGGCTGGGAATGAGAAAATCTGCAGCAGCAGAAAGCCCAGGGCAGAGAACGAGAATGAGAGGTTCCTGCAGGAACACAGGGCTGACCGCAGCCCCTTCCTGCAGCCCAAGGAGGCAGAGAGGGGCCGGGAACACCTGGAAAATTCCGAGCAGAGGGAACTGAAGTCACATCTCGTGGTCTGTGCCGCAGCAGCTCCTGGGGCAGCGTCGCTGCACACACAGGGTGAGAACCCAGCCGGGAGCTGTCCACAAAATCCCAGCTGGGTCGGTGTGTTGCGTTTACTCGCTCAGATATTACATCAATTTAAGGAACAAATATTTTACAGTGAGGGTGGAGAAGCCCTGGCACGGGTTGCCCAGAGAGCTGTGGTGCCCCATCCCTGTTAAACATTGAAGGTCAGGCTGGATGGGGCTCTGAGCAGTCTAATGAGGTTGGAGATGTCCCTCTCGTGGCAGGGACTAGATACCCTTTAAAGCATCCTTTAACTTGCCTAGGATTCTATGATTTATATGATTTTAGGCTCAGATTATCTTTGGCAGAATCCAAACAAACAGTCCAGAGACTACTTTGCATGTTTATTTCACTAAAGACACAGGAACAATCTCTGCCCTCACACAAACAGGAGATTCAACCTGACCTTCCTGTCTACCACATGGAGGAAACCAAAAATTGGGCCATTTGGTCCATATATCTTCAACATTTATTCCTGTGGCTGCTTTCTTCCTCCCTAACTGTGCCTGTTGCTCTCCCTGGCCATGTCACATGAAATCCTCCCAGAGCTGTTTGGTAACTTCTCTGCAGAACCCACTGCAGAGCAGCATCCAGCTCTGAAACAGTAAAAAAAAAAAAAAAAGAAAATTATGCAAGAGGCTACCTGTAAATCCTTATTTCCTTAGCAAAACTTTTCCAGCCCCAAAACATCAGGAGTTTTAGAGTTGCAGATGAACTCACAGATGTATTTTTTCCTTCTCCCCAATTCCATTGCGCATTGGGAGAGTGCGTTGGAGGTTCCAAAGCACCAAAATAATCTCAGGTAACCTGTCTGCTGCAGATGCTGAGGACTCGGTCACTGGAGGGAGGGGCACTCTGGGGATGAGAAGGAATCAAGTGGGGAGCTGTTAAAGGCTGTTTGCTGTCAAAGGCTGTTTGCTGTCAAAGGCTGTTTGCTGTCAAAGGCTGTTTGTTTGCTGTTGGATTTGCAGAGGGGTTTTGGGAGGAGCTCCTGGGGTTCCAGGCTCCCCGTGGGCTCCATGTCCAGCCCAGCACAGAGTTACACAGCACAAGAGGCCATGCTGGATTCCACACCACTGCTCACAGCCTCTGCATCCAGCCAGCCCACAGCCTCAAAAACCAGAAAGCAGGAAAAGCCTTCTTTTTGGGCTGGTCTGGGAGTTGTGTCTGAGAGGAACAGGGGATTTGTCTTTCCAAACCAGCTGTGGGTCTGCTGGGAGATAAAACCAGCACTGGGAGATAAAAGAAACAATGGGAAGGATCCCACTGATCCATCCATTAATGAATGGAAAAAGAGATTTGCCTTTACAAATAAACTTTAGGTTTGCTGATAAATGAAATTAGACATTGAAAGATGAAAGAAACAATGGGGAAGAAAAACCCCTAATTTCCATAAGAATTAAAAATGAAAAGGGAGGGTTATACAATAGAGGGAAATCTTTGGTATCAGGCATTCTGGGAAGTCTGAACCTCTCAAGTACCTCAGCCAATGGGGAAAGAGAGAAGGGAAATGTGGCTGGGAAATTGGGATAAAAAGGAGGCTGTGTCCTCCAAAAACTGGAGAGATTGAGAGGAATGCCCCATGGCCTCTGCCTTGATTGGAATAAAGCCAAAGGACTCCTCTGTCTCCTTTTTGGACATAAACCTCTGGTGTTTGTGGATTAATTTTCCTGACATGTCCCTGCTCAGCATCACCACCCTCTCTCCTGGAGACCCTGGAGCAGCTCCAGAGCAGAGGAGCCCAGCAGTGCCTTCCCTTCCCTCTGGACACACTCCAAGCGTTGCTCACTTCAGCTCAGCACATTTTGTTCCTAAGAAATGACCCTCCCTGAGGTACAGAAATGACATTTTCCACCTCACTGCAGCTCACCTGGATTTCCCTCACAGCTGACACCTGCGCTGCTGTGCTGAGTTCCACACATCATCCAGTGCCAGATTTCCTCCTCTGGGTTTCTGTGCTCACCACAACACCTGGGATTTGTTTTGTTTGTACAAGGTTCCTTAAGGTGCCCCCAGTTCTGCTGCTGCCATTGTGAGCTCCATCAGCTGCAGCACAGAAAATAACTACAAACAGAATAACAGAACACATAACCTGCCTCAAAGCTTCTCTCTCTAGGTGAAAAGGAGATAAATGAGTGTTAGGAATAATGAGAATAATGTGCCCCTTTTTGAGATGCTGAATTTAGAGGAGCTGTGTTTGCACACAGTGAATGAAATCTATGGACTCAATGCCCTGGAATTGTGGGAGGAAGGTGAAAGGAGAGGGAAATTAACCCCAAACCCTCACTGAGTGGGAGCTTTTTCTGCAAAGGACTCCACTGCTGGAGCCAGGTTTGCTCATGAGCAGATTTACCCATGTCAGGGAAATTAATCCACAAACACCAGAGGTTTATGTCCAAAAAGGAGACAGAGGAGTCCTTTGGCTTTATTCCAATAAAGGCAGAGGCCATGGGGCATTCCCCTGGGGTCTCTCCAGTTTTTGGAAGATGCAGCCTCCTTTTTATCTCAATTTCCCAGCCACATTTCCCTTCTCTCTGTCCCCATTGGCTGAGGCACTTGAGAGGTTCAGACTTCCCAAAATACCTGATACCAAAGATTCCCCTCTAGTGTATAACCCTCCCTTTTAATTTTTAATTCTTATGGAATTTAGGGGTTTTCTCCATTGTTTCTTTCATCTTTCAATGTCTAATTTCATTTATCAGCAAACCTAAAGTTTATTTGTAAAGACAAATCTCTTTTTCCATTCATTAATGGATGGATCAGTGGGATCCTTCCCATTGTTTCTTTTATGTCCCAGTGCTGGTTTTTCTACCAGCAGACCCACAGCTGGTTTGTAAAGACAAATCCCTCATTCCTCTCACCCAGATGCTGCAACACAAGCACTTTAAAAACTCCACAGCTGAATTTCCATCAGCCAAGTGCCAGGAAAAGTCCATCTAATGCACCTTTAATGGCCCTTGCCCTGGAATGACTGCTGAGAGATCTCCCCAGGCCATTTCAGGAGGCTGTAGCTGTTTATTTGCTCCCCACTGATGATCAGAGACCCCAAAATGCCTTAGGGGGCTGTAGCCCCACATTTCTCTTCACAGAGAAAAGCAAGGCACAATCCTTCCCAAGAATATTTCTGGGTTTCACATTCTCCGAACTTCAGAGAAACAAAGCACCATCACTTTGGGTGAGCAATCTCCATATTGCATTCTAATTTGGCACAAACACAGGCACAGCAAAAGAGATAAGAATATTCTTGGGAAGGTCTGTGCCTTGCTTTTCTCTGTGAGATGTGGGGCTCTGTGCAGCTGCAGCCCCCAGCCCGTGCTGGCAGCAGGGACAGGGACAGGTCACACCAGGACAGAGAGCCTTGGAAAATGCAGCTCAGTGCAAATCTCCTTCTCTTCCCTACCCAATTATCCCACTGAACACACAACAGTGTGGCACAGGAAAATGCATGAAAGGGAGAAAGAAGCTCAGTTAAACTCATTACATCATGAGAACAGACGTTCCATTGCCGTGGCACTTCTCAGCTCCAGAAATACCCTGTGTGAGAAATGGGGT